GTAGAGGTCGCTGCTGAGACTCTTAATATCAATGCAGGTTGCCTGTGCCGTCTCTGCCCCAGCAGCCGCAGTCTCAGGTGCGCCCCCCCCCCCCCCGGCACAGGGCGTCTTGTCAGCGTGCGCGGGTTGCTGCACTGGCGCGTATGCGTCCCCCCGTACACGGCGTCTATGCAGCAAGCGGGGGTTGCCGCGCTGGTGACAGTGGCTGTGCTGTCTCAGGTGCTTCCTGTGGTGGTGATGGAAACAGAGCAATAGAAACGCTTGGTACGATCGGCGGGAGTAGAAGTCGTGGCTGAAAGGTAGGCGCATCTTTGCTCCATTGCCAAACTTTGTCTGCGGGCGGCGAAGATGTGGGATATGGAGCTGGGCTTACAGAGTGTTTGGCGACTTCGGACTTTGTCTTGACGTGAGGCGTTAGACCAGTCAGCACATATGTGTTCAACATCGATAGAAATGCGGTAGTTGCCAGATGGTCTGCCTACTCGTGTGGCGAAGCCTGTGCGATTCAGAACCTCATTGTGCGCGCGTGCGCGAGAGCAAGAAGCAACTGAGCATGCGTTGGCGAGAAGCCCAAGGCCTCGAAGCCGTGCGACAAATGGCATCGGTGCGTGATCTCCGTTCGTTCTGCGTCGTACCCCTCCCGTGGAGGTTGGCGCGCCAAGCCTGTCGCTCGCTGCGTGACCCCCCGCCCCTGTGTCGAGGGCCGGGCGGGGGGGCTACGCCTCCGATTCGGGCAACGGCTCTCCTCCTCCTCCTCCTTCTCCTTCTCCTCCTCCTCCTCCTCCCTCCTCCTCCTCCTCCTCCTCCTCCTCCTCCTCCCTCCCCTCCCCCCCTGCACCCCTTAACCCTCCGCCCGCCCGGCCAGGCGAAGAAGGCCATCGCCAAGTCCGAGCTTCCGAAGGAGGCGCTGGCGCTGCCGTGGATGGACCGCAGGGGGCCGCGGGCCGTGGATGGCTCGGCGGCCGTGGATGGCTCGGCGGCCGGGCGGTCTGCGGCGTGTTGCCCGCCGCGCGGACGCGGCGGGCACCGCGGCGCAGGTCTTTCGAGAGGCTGACGGCCGGCGCTCGTCGGGGAGGGGCCGAGGTCGAGCGATCTGCGCTGCCGGAAGGCCGCGATCGTTCAAGGTTTGAGGACCCAAGCGTTAAGTCGGGGGACGATTTGCTTGATTCTTTTCGGGATATGTTTTGCCATTTTTGTTGAGTATTTCTAATGTTCCAGGAAAGCCGCCTCTAGGAGGACATGTCCTATTCCAAGCGTCGAGTGGGAGATCGACTGCATAATAGATTTGCCTCAGAGTTGAAGTGGTCGTCGGATCTATAGAAACACGTAGATCTCGCGTGAATCTGCGGGGACATATTTTTCGTAGATTTGACGAGCAGGTCAATTCGGGGGTACATCAATTCAATAGTCGATCTCCTACTCGACAGCGGTGTCACATACCACCGCCGACGTCATCGCGGCGTTCGCTTTCCGTAGGAGTAGCGGCCTGCTCTGGGGCGATCGACGTCGGAGGATGGTGTTTTTTGGACGTTTCCTCTCCTGCCTGGGCCTTCGGGAGGATGGATTGATTCCCTTCGAAATTCTGGTCCGACTGCTCCCAAAGAGAGGTCCTGAGGGTCGGTTTTTGAAGGGAGAGGATGCAGGAGGTCCAGACATCCCACGTTCTTTTGATCGAATTCCGCCGGTCTTCCTTCCATGTTTGACCTCCAGTGCAGCCTTCCTGGCAGGCAGGACGACTCAGGATGACATCCCCGCGCCGGAGGGTTCGAGAGCTCCAGGCACCCCGTACAAAAATCGAGCACGAGATCGGAGGTCTGGGTTGGGAGGAGCGGCCTTCTCCTCCTCCTCCTCCTCCTCCTCCTCCTCCTCCTCCTCCTCCTCCTCCTCCCCTTCCTGCTCCTCCTCCTCCTCCGTTCTCCTACAAGTGCAGTTCTATGGTGTGTTACGGTGGCGGAGCCGTAACATTCCATGGTTGCCGCGCTGTGTTTGGCTGTTCTTCAGAGACCTTGATGCCTCTTGGGGTCTTTTCCAGGCTTTTGGGTGCGCTCTTGGGGGCCCCTCGGGGACCTGATGGGGGCTTGTCGGGAGTCTCGGGTCCGTCTTGGCTTGCAATTCCCAGCTCGATCTCTCGCGGGTCTGCCCAGGCTAGTCTTGGTGCTGTCGGAGGCGGTCTGTTCTGGTCCGCTTCAGGGGGGCGATCTCGCGAGACCCCCGGCAGCGAGGGGGGGAGCGCATATCCTGAGCTCCGCACGCGTTCCTCCTTCAAGTCTGCAGCGGTCACAGGGATGGAGGACCATCCCTGATGGAAATTTGAGTTTCGCTTGAGACTTCGTTTCATCCACAGACGAGGTTCGGAGGTGGACAGACCTCCTACTCTGACACGTCGATTAGTGAATTGGCCGTTCTCGGTTTGCGAGAGGGCGTCGCGGCCGTCATTTTTGCGGGTCCAGGCCCGTCGGTTTCGGTCTCAGGCCGTTCTCACTAAGGGGAGTTTTACTAAAGGGAGGTTTGTCCACCGCCGAAAGGGGGAAGCGGGGGGGAAGGTATGGGAATATGGGAAGTGGGTGGGAAGACACAACCCCAGAGAACATGGGAAAATGTGGGGAATCTTTTTGTGTGTATTTATCTGAGAATCTATTGGAAAATATGTGGAATATCTAGGAAAATATGTGTGTGTTTATTTGCGTGTCCCAGGGCCCCTTCAAAGTCATCTGGATCTGTGCGGCAGCCGCACGGAGGGAGGGCGGCGCCTCCTCGAAGTCGGGCTCTCCGGCCAGGGCGCCCTGCGCGCTCGCTGGCAAGAGTCCTGGCGAGCTTGCGGGGTGCAGAGGACGATGCGTCTTGCCTCGCGTCGTCTTTTGTCTCGTCGCTCCGTCGCCTCCTCCTTCGCTTCCTGCCCTCCCGCTTTGTCGTTCTTGCCTCGTGTCGTCTTTGGTCTCGTCGCTCCGTCGCCTCCTCTTTCGCTTCCTGTCCTCCCGCTCTGTCGTTCTTGCCTCGTGTCGTCTTTTGTCTCGTCGCTCCGTCGCCTCCTCTTTCGCTTCCTGTCCTCCCGCTCTGTCGTTTCTGCGCTCTGGGCTCGTCGTGGCTTCCCCCTTCGGCCTCGTCTTCCTCCCCCTCTCCCTCGTTCCCCCTCCGCCCTCCCTGAAAGCGAAGACAGAAAGAAGGACAAAAAAAGGGTGTAGGACGATTCCTTGCCCAGAAGGCGGCTTTCCCCTTTTTTGGTGTCGCGGGCCAGAAATCTGCACTCAAGCTGCAACTGCACGGATGAAGGGCGGTTCCTTTTCAACATCGGGCTCGAGGAGGAGCAGGAGGAGAAGGGGAGGAGGAGGAGGAGGGAGGAGGAGGGAGGAGGGAGGAAGGAGAAGGGAGGAGAAGGGAGGAGAAGGCTCGAGGAGGAGCAGGAGCAGGAGGAGGGAGGAGGAGGGAGGAGGGAGGAATGAGGAAAGGAGGAGGAAGGGAATGGACTCGCTCGAGACTTCCTGACTTGAAGTGCAGACGTGTTCAAGAGTTGCACAGATGGGGCGGCCCCCATATTCAAAAGGGGGATCCTGCTGAACACCTCGGTGCCTCGTCGAGCTGTGCGATTCTGCCACTTCGTATCCCTTATGATCGGGGGTGGACAGAACCCCCAACAGTGACACGTCGATTAGTGAATTGTCCGTTTTCGGTTCTCGAGAGGGCGCCGTGGCCGTTGTTTTCCAGGCTCGCGCCCGCCAGGTTTGGGCCTCAGGTCGTTTTCACTAAACCACGTTTTACTGCAGGGGGGTTTGTCCATCCCCGATATGACTTTCTGGAAGGGTGCACAGAGCAGCTTCCATGCAGAGCGGGGCTCCCGCCAGAGTGGCAGGCCCATGAGGTGCTCGTCTCTCAAACGGGACGCTTCTTGTATTAAGAGGGATGGCGCGCAGGGCTCACATTTAAGTCGGGCATGTCCCTCTACAGGAAGAATGTTCCCAAGTAGTGAAACATAGTCTGGGAACGTCTTTTCGACAATTTTTTGGAGTATGTTATGATTTTGCTTTTTCTTCCAAAATCCCCCTGTAGGGGGATATACCCGGCCTAAGCTTATATGGATGTATGAGGAGGGGACTGCATCGTTAATCCATCTTGGGCTTATTATGGTCCTCGTCGTCGTCGTCGTCCTCCTCCTCCTTCTCCCCCTGCTCCCCCCAGGGGATGTCGCCAGAGGTCTCAGGTCCCCAGAGGTCCCTGGGGGTCCCTGGAAACGACCAGATCTTTTTTTTAAAAGGGCCGCAGACATCCCATAGCCCCGACCCTCGAGCGTCGTGGCCAAGTCTCAGCTGGCTGGCTGGGGTTGGGCCCAGGAGAAGCTCAACCCGGAAGGGGGCTCCTCTGCGATTCAAGCAGACAAGTTCCTCGACGATCTTTTTTATGCGATGGCTCTTCGATTCAAGCTGACACTTTACAGAAAGTTAACTGGTGCTTAGATCCTGCCTCGGGATCCCAGGAGAAGCTCGACATTCAGACTGGTTCCTTCAGCTTCAGCGAGGGCGCAGAGAACAAGGTGCAGATCATCACGCCCATGGGCTCCTCTGACGACATCAAGGTCACCCCCGCCAGCCCGGCCGACTGGACGTCGCCGTCGTCGCCGTCGTCGACGTCTTCGTCGTCTAGGGCGTCTGGCATTGTCGTCGCTGTCGTCGCCGTCGTCGTTTATCAGCGTCGTCGTCGCCGTCGTCGTCGTCCGTCGTCGTCGTCGTCGTCGTCGTCGTCGTCGTCGTCGTCGTCGTCGTCGTCGCCGTCGCCGTCGCCGTCGCCGTCGCCGTCGCCGTCGCCGTCGCCGTCGTTGTCGTCGGTCGTCGTCGTCCGTCGTCGTCCGTCGTTGCCCGTCGTCCGTCTTCTGCCGTCCGTCGTTCCGTCTGGCTGGCGGCGCTCTGACTCAGGGAGCGAAGGGGGACGCTGAAGGCCCGGGGCTGCGCAGGCCTCTGCAGAGGTCCCAGGGGGGAGCCCCCTGGAGGAGCCTCCAGGGGCGCAGGGAAGGGCCGGGGACGTCCAATAGCCTTGACCTCCCCATTTGGGCGCTGCGGCCTCCTCCTCCTCCTCCTTCTCCTCCTCGTCCTCCTCCTCCTCCTTCTCCTCGTCCTCCTCCTCCTCGTTGTCCTCCTCCTCCTCCTCCTCCTCCTCCTCCTCCTCCTCCTCCTGGAGGCCGAGCGCGCGGGCCTGCGGCTGCGCAGGAAGGCCGCCCGCGCGGTGGCGCCCTCCCTCCCGCGCGGCGCGTGCCGAGCTGGCGGGCTCCGCGCCGGCCTGGCAGTACGAGATATTGCCAGGTCGCGGTGCGCAGGACTCGACGTTGCTCGGGACGTGTGGCAGCCCGCTGCGTTCCCGCGTGAGGGTGCTCCCCGCGAGGGTGCTCTTCTGCGTTAGACGTGCGTCGGGCATGTTCCGGTCCAGGAGGAATCTTCAACAACAGGAGCATGAATAGTCAGGTGACGATTTTTCGTGATCATTTTTTTGTTTTTGATGAGTTTAGGATTCGTTTTTTCTCTTCCAACTCCGCCTGTAGGAGGACATGCCTGGCCTAACGTTCGAATCGACGATCGGCCCGAAGTGCTTCACGTTCTGAGGGTGCTCCCTGCGTGCCGCAGTTCTCTCCGCGTTCGTCCCAGCGTAGCCTGCCCACCACTCGGATCCCAGGCGGCGCCAGCCGAAAAGGTTAGCCCAGTACATGTTGTGTGTTGCCCCGCTCGGCTCCACCCATACCACGCAGCCCCTCGCAACCTCAGGTTCATGCGGCGATGGCGCGCCGGCGACGCCAGCGAAGGCGTTCAAGGTTGAACTCCGCATAACAACGACGCGGAAGCACTGAGGGGCACGGTAACACCAGAGGACCCGACGGAGTTCAACCTTGAACGATCGGGGCCGCGATCGGTCCAGGGTTGAACGATTGACGCGGTGTCAAAAACCTGTGCGCGCGCAGACGTGATACGAATCTACCGTATGCTGCCCGCGTCGCATTCACATCTCGGAGGCGGCAGTGAAAGGGGGGCGATTACTGGGGCGATTACATGGCCAGGGCCATGACATCTCTCCAGATTTCATGACCCCGTTTTTCCAACACGTCCCTTGGCCTTCCCCTCTTCCGCGCACATGCCTCGAGCCATGCATGATTCGTGATTCGTGAACCACCCTCTTGGACGCCTCCCTCTTGGACGCCTCCGATAACACGCGTTCTGAGGATCATCGAAAGATCCCTTTCTCGGGGCTCATTTTCACTTCTTCGACTCATTTCGATTCAATTTCGATCGATTCCGATTCCGAGTCGATTCGACTTCGGATTCCGATGTGGATTTCGGTTTCTCAGTGAAGGCCTCCTTAGCCTGCCGATTTCCGCCGATTCGACTTTGCCGACTCGGCTGCCGATCTCTGCCAATCCGTTTCGCTTCGATCGCCGATCCGTCTCATCGATTCGGTCTTGGGCTCTCCTGCTTTCTCCCGCCCCCCGCCGAGAAGCAGCTTCCTCGGCGGAGGCTACGCTAGGTTCGCGTCGTGTCGACCGGCGGCGACCCCGCCGCCGGCGCTCAACGTCGAACGCCTCCCGTGGCCCAGAGTCGGCCCATCCTTGAACGATCTTCTGACGTTTCGGAAACGGCTGATCGTTCAGGGTTGAACGACCCCCGCGGTGTCAGAAGCCAGCGCCGAAGTCGGCACGACGCGAGCTTGCCGTACGTCCATAAAGGAGTAAGTCCATGCGGAGTGCTCGCGTTCTGTTGCATCTTCGGGGGACCTCGCCTGTCCCAACAAATTGTGTCTTTTTGGGGACCCGACGCGTGCTCGATGTGGACTCGACGCGGATTTGGCGTGGATTCGACGCGGATTCGACACGGATCCGACGCGTCCGACATGGATTCGACACGGATTCGACGCGAACAGGGCCGCGACGGGACAGACGAGGTCCCCCGAGGATGCAACATAAAATCCCTGCGGAGTGCTCGCCCTCCTCCTGGACTCGCTCCGTCTGGACTTCGCCGCTCCTGACTCTCGAGCCTATCGAGGTGTGCGCGCGGCGGGGGCCCCTCGCTCGTGCTCGAGGCGCCCCTCGTGCTCGGGCCCCGGGCCTCCGCGGAGGCCTCCGCGCACACCTCCAGAGGGCCGAGCACTCGGAGGCCCCCCCCCCGGGAGGCCTCGGGGGATCGTCTCCTTGTTCGTTGTTTTGCCGATCGTCGCGGGCCCTCGCACCCCCCCCTCCCGCCCCGTGGAGTAGATCTTGGCTGTCTTGGGCGGCCGTTTCGAGCAGGTGGAGTCTCCCCCATAGGGCGCACGGTTGCAAACAGTGGCACTCAGCAGAGGTCTGGAGCCAGGCCCCCCCCCCCCCCCCCTTCCGCAGAGTGTCGAAACGACCAAGAGCACGTTCGCCAGGGACAACGTAGTGGGGGGGCCAGCTCAGGTCAGCCACGCGCAGAGGGGGGGAATTAGGGGGACGGGGGAGAGCTTCTTGGAAGCGCCCCTGCTTCTTCGAGGGCGCGGGCCTTGTCGATACCGGGGTGGACAGACCTCCTGCCCTGACACGTCGATTAGTGAATTGTCCGTTTTCGGTTCTCGATAGGGCGCCGCGGCCGTCATTTTCCAGGCTTGCTCCTGCCAGGTTTGGGGCCCGAGGTCGTTTTCACCAAACCACGTTTTACTAAAGGGGGTTCTGTCCATCCCCGACTATAGATGCAAGGCCGGCTCCTTGTAAGAAGCAGCCTCCTTCTAAGAAGCTTCCCCCCTGCTTCCCCCCTAACCCCCTAGTGCGCGCGCCGCCAATCGGGGGGAAGGGCATCGAGCGGGACTCGGCGATGCACCGCCTGCACATAGCCCCCCGACAGCGAGTCTGTACCTTCCTGGGCGGGGCGGGCTATCGGGCCCCTCGTCGGCAGTGTGTATCTGGTTCCAGCTCGAAATTCCCCCCCAGCCTATCCCCCCCAACCAGGGGGACGGCATCTATACCTGGGTAGTCGAAGGCCAGACTGTCAGATTGGATTGGGCCCCACGGGCCAATCTGGCCTGGCCAAACTGGATGATTTGGGTTATTCGCCAGACTGGATTCGCGTTGGCTCCCTCGCCAGATTGCCCCCGTTTGCCAGATTGGGCCTGCCAGATTGGCGCCAGATCGGCTTCGACTACCCAGTATACGCATCCACCGCTCCATGCCTGGCCCATCCTTGTCCCAGGAGCAGTGCTCGAAATTCCCCCCCAGCGTATCCCCCCTGACCAGGGGGACGGCACCTGTACGCATCCACCGCTCCATGCCTGGCCCATCCTCGTCCCAGGAGCAGTGCATACGCCCTCCCGGCCTGGCCGGAGAGGCACATGCCCCGCCCCTGGGCCCCGTGCGTGTGCCAGGCCTGGGGCCCCTTGGATCTGCACGGACTCCGCCGCCTCCCCGGACGCTGCCCCTCTGGTGGCGTCCATCCCGAGGTCCGGCGCGGCGCACGAGTTGCAGCGCCGCAGATCGAGGAAGGAAACGCTGCACGACCATACTCTTTCTGCGCACGAATTGCAGCGCACGAGTTGCAGCGCCGCAGATCGAAGAAGGAAACACTGCACGAACATACTCTTTCGGCGCTTTCTGCTTGTGGCGTTTCTTCCTTCTGGTAGAGCATCGCGCCCGGAGCCCCAGACCCCCACCGTTCTGCTTCCTCTCTCGGGCCGCCTCGTTCTGGGAGGGCCCCGAGGGGCTCGACAGAAGGCGCAAGCGCCCGACTCGGAAAAGTTTCGGCGCCAGGATTTCGGGGTCAGGGGACGTCCAGGGGCCCTCCCCCGAAGAAGAGCAATCGGCACAAGCATAAACTTATGTCGATCCGCGCGGATTTCTTGGATGCGCTAGAGCAGCGCCAGCCAGGTCACGGCTGGCGTGGAAAAGCGCAAAGAAGCAAGTGCCGTGTTGTGACCCATGCGATGGCTCCCGGGCGGGCCTGAGAACGCGCAGCCTTGTTTTGGCCGGCCCCCATCGAAAAGGAAGGACCCACGTTGTCGCCGAAATGGCATTTGTTCCCAGGCTGCCCCCTTCTCGCCTAATTATGCCTTTGCCTTGCGTTGTATCGCCTTCTGCAGTTGCGATTCGACAGAATGGGATGACTCGTGCAGAGGGAAATTTTTCATTGGTTGCATTCCATATGTAGGTGTTTTCTGTATCAGATACGCAGCAGAAGGTAGAGTTAGGTAGTTAGGTATGAACGCAGGTACAGACGTACTCATGTAAAGACGCACTTACGTGCACGCACAAGCAGAGGTACAAGTATAGCGACATGGTAACAGAGGCAGAGATACGCTGCGGTGAGTTGCAGTAGAGGTAGAGGTGGAGATGGAAGCGAAAGTGGGGGTAGCAGGACCGATCGACGTGGAGGTAGATGCAGGGGTGGTGGCGAGGCGCCAGAGATGTCAAACAGCAGCACGCTGATCAGGGTCAGATTAGGAGCTCCTTCTTCGGCCTGCCAGCGCGCGCGTGAGGCCTGGGCTTCCCTGGCGCCCAACTTCTTCTTCGCGCTCATCTTCTTCACGGCGGGAGGCGCGGGCCTTTCTCGTGTGGACCAAGAAGCAGTGGCATAGGTCAGCTTCGTTGCAATGTCTGCGATCGACGCTCGATTTTTCAGAGTCGCCCTTTGAGCCGCTCGGCCGCTCTTTCTCCCGCCTTCTTCCTCCACCTCCTCCACTCCCTCCCTCCTACCCCTCCCTCCTACTCCTCCTGCCCCCTCCCTCCCTCGCCCTCCCTCCCTCCGACTCCTCCTTCTCCCTCCCTCCCTCCTCCTCCCTTCCTCCTACTCCTCCTCCTCCTCCTCCTCCCTCCCTTCTTCTCCTGCCTCTTCCTCCCTCCTACTCCTCCTCCTCCCTCCCAGGCCATGGAGGCTCGAACCAACGAGCGAGATGTTTTTGGGGGCTCGCAGCCACGAAGCCGTCAGACGGGCACAGTGCGCCACATTCCCGTGTGGCCTTGGGGCGGCGGGTATGTGGGATCATCTCTTCTTTTGACGCGGGGGGGGGTCGAAACTCGTGAGGTTGACATGCTTTTTCACTTCTTTGTGGCCCTACGAGGCCCAAGAGAGAGAGAGGTGCACGTGGAAACTACGTGCTTGTGAGTTTCCAAGAGGACGCAGCCTGTTATAGGAGGGTCGGTTCCTTGTTTGGAGGACTCCAACCTTGAGAGGTGGCTCCATTTATGGTTAATATAATGCATAGCGCAATCGTATGCACAACAACATTTATGTATGTATGTATGTATGTATGTATGTATGCATGCATGCATGCATGCATGCATGCATGTATGTATGTATGTATGCATGTATGTATGTATGTATGTATGTATGTATGCATGCATGCATGCATGCATGCATGCATGCATGCATGTATGTATATATGTACGTATGTATGTATGTATGTATGTATGTAGGTAGGTAGGTAGGTAGGTAGGTAGGTAGGTAGGTATGTATGTATGTATGTATGTATGTATGTATGTATATATATATGTATATATGGACGTACATACGTATGCATGCATGTATGTATGTATGTATGTATGTATATAATGTAATTTCATGTAATGTAATGTAATGCAATGTAATGTAATGTAATGTAATGTAATGTAAGGTATGTACATATGAATGTATGTATGTATACATGTATGTATGTATGTATGTATGCATGCATGTATATATTGTGTGTCTATGTATGTATGTATGTATGTATGTAGGTAGGTAGGTAGGTAGGTAGGTAGGTAGGTAGGTAGGTAGGTAGGTGGGTGGGTGGGTGGGTGGGTAGGTAGGTAGGTAGGTAGGTACGTATGTATGTATGTATGTATGTATGTATGTATGTATGTATGTATGTATGTATGTGTGTATGTGTGTGTGTATGTATGTATGTATGTATGTATGTATGTATACATAGGCGTTATCGATGGTGGACCGTCTTTGTGAACAGACACTTCTTGCCGACCTCCGTTCTTCTTCTTGTTCCTCCAGTCCTCTTGTATCTTTTGTGCCCTCCGTGCCTGGCTGCTGCCAGGCGTGCAGTGATCTTACGTGTCTGAACTCCCGGGGATCTGGCGAGGTGTGGTCTTACACAGACCCAAGCTGGACCCTGCCTTTCTCGGTGCTGCCACGCGTGTAGCTGTTGCCGCTCTGCTGCGTCAGCAACGCGTGGCCTTACGCAGGGCCCAAATCGACCTCGCCTCCCTGGGTGCAGCACTGATAGAGGTTGTTCCGTTTTCGAACGGTTGCGTTCGTTCTATGGCCGCGCGCGTCCGAAAAGTTTAATGACCGCGCGCGTTCGCGCGCGCGTCCGGAAGTGCCAATCGTTACACGAATATATATATATATATATATATATAAATTGTCTCTGTCGTAACTGTACAAGTGCGGCTGCCGCCGATTCGCTGCGCATATTCGTTTGAAATGTTTTCAGCAGCTCGCGGATGGAGGGCGGTTCCTTTTCGAAATGGGGCTTTCCCTTGGGACTTCGCGCCATGTCTCGTGCGCCGAAGCGTAGAGATTTGCAGCCATTTCGCAGATGGAGGTCGGTCTCTTCTAAGATGAGGCCATGTCTTAGGACCTGCCTATCAATTGAAGACGCTTGAAGCGGGTCACCGCCGCGCCTTGCCTTTCTGGAAGCGCCTACGTGGCGAACCGTCGGGTCTAAGCTCAGCCAATCAATAGGACTATGCGTTTTCCCAGCCGTTGGGAGCAACGCCTGGGGGATGAATACGGAAAGGGGGAAGAGGAGCAGGAGACGGCCTCTTGGGGGCTTTTTTGGAGCCTTCTGGGGGCTTCTCTGGGGCGTCTTTATGTCATCTTGGACGGACCTGAGGCCATCTGTTGTGCACATCTTGGCCGTCTTGGAGGTTATCTTGCACCGTCTTGGGGGCCATCCTGGCCGACTTGAATGCCATCTTGGCCGTCTTGGAGCCCATCTCGGGCCGGTTTGGAGGCTATCTTAGACATCTCAGGGCTGTCTTTGGCCTCTCTTGGGGCATTTTTAGGCCGTCTTGGAGTGATTGGGGGCCTCAGGGGCCGCCTTGGTTGTGCCAAAGCTCGAGCAATGAGCCGAAACTCACCGAACACCCGGACTGGTATGGCGATCTTCGCCTGTTTGGAGCCTTTTGGAGGTTCTCGTCGGGCCATCTTGAGCCGTCTTGTTTGCATCTTGGGCCGGGTTGTGGAGGACGATCAATGGAGAGGAAGCATGTTGCCAAATACTTTCCAGATGTCTAAAACATGTGTTTAACATGTTTAGAACATTTTTCAGACTTTTTTAACACATTTTAAATTCAATGATAGGACTGTTAGGGTGTCCATTGTCGTGGCATCCACAAATCTTGGGCGTATCTGGGGCCATCCTGAACCTCCTTTCTTGGGGGGGGGCACGTGCGGCCATCTTGGCTGTCCTGGATGCATCTCTGCGCCCTCTCGGAGGCCATCTTGGGCCATCCTTGTAGAGGACGATCAATGGAGAGGAAACATGTTGACAACTAATTCTAAACACATGTTTGATTCGATGATAGGACTGCTAGGTGTCCATTGTCGTGCTATCCACAAGGCCATCCAGACCCTCTCTGGCAGCTTAGGCCAAAGGCCACCCGGGAACCTGCTGGAGGGACCAACCTCGGCGGCGAGCCTGGGGGGGAAGTGAGAAGGAGAAGGCCTTCTCAGAGGGCTCGGAATTCCCCTGGCCTTCTGGGGAGTTTTCTGAGCCTCCCCCGAAGACAAAAACTTCTCCTCGTAAGGCGCGAGGGCTTCTGAGAAGTCCCTCCGCTTTCTGCGAAGGCCTTCTCCTTCTCACTTTCCCCCCCTCGCTCGCAGCCACTAAATGCCACCTGGGCACCTGCTGGAAGGACCGACCAGAGCTAGAAAGTCTGGCACGGCAAGCACCCCTCCTGCAGGCTAGAGGGGCGGTCAAGCTGGTGGCTTTTGAGGCTCGTTGGATGCATTTGTGGGGTCCCTCGGGCGGTCTCGGCTGCGTTTGGATGGTCTTGGGGCCTCATGGAGCCTTGACTAGGAGGAGAAGGAAATAGGATGATGATGATGATGATGATGATGATGATGATGATGATGATGATGATGATGATGATGATGATGATGATGATGATGATGATGATGTTGATGATGATGACGATGATGATCATGTGATGATGAGGACGAACGACGAACGACACGACGACGATGAGAATGATGATGAGGATGATATGATGAGATGATGATGATGATGATGATGAGGAGAGGAGGAGGAGGAGGAGGTGAGGATGAGGAGGAGAGGATGGAGGAGTAGGAGGAGAGGAGGAAGAGGAGGAGGGGAGGAGGATAATTATTAGTAGGAGGGACGGAGTAGTAGAGTAGATGAGTAGGTATGCATGATTAGGAGGAGGAGGAGGAGGAGGAGGAGGAGGAGGAGGAGGTCGTCCTGTTGCGCGGCCTGCCCAGCCGTCGCCGCCATGGTTCCTTTTTTGGGGGGCTTCTTTGGGGCCTCCAGTGGTGCAGGGGCGTGTGGGTGGCGCGCTCTTCGGGCTCCTGCTGGGCTCACTATGGGTGCCCTGCCGGCTCCTCTTGGGTGCCTCCTGGGCACTCTCGAGGGGGTGCTGTGGGACCCCCTGGTCCGTTTTGGACGCTCTTGAGCTAACAAGCGGTAGTCTTGGTCACCCGCCGGGGCGCGGAGGTAACCGCACTTCGCACCTCGCGGCTTGGGTTGGAGAGGCGTCCTTTTCCCGAGGGTGGCACGGGGAGGCGAGGGCGCAGAGGTAATCGCGCCTCGCGCATCGCTGGTCGCGGTGCGCAAAGGCAGGTGACCTAGCGGGGCCGAAGGCCCCTAGAGAGTATTTACACCGTAGCAGCGTCAATGCAGATAATTCGAGATGACCCGAGGGCGCTTCACGCAGTGCCTCGCGGCACAGTGGCGGATTTTATTGATCGAGATGCCAATAATGCCCTGCAAGTGGACGGATATTTCGTCAAACCAGAGGTCTGTCACCGCCCACCAAACCACCCCAACCCAACCCGAAGGCCCCGATATGCCTTCCGTTTCCAGTGGTGGGTGGGGGTCGGGGAACACGGACCAAACCACACATATGAAGCCCGCATCCCCCCAACCCGAAATTCGGGACTGCGGGTTCGGTTGGGGTCGGCGGTGCATCCCGCGTTCACATCTGATCCTCATCCTCCTCTTCCGCAGTCCTCTTCCGCGCCCCGTCGTAATCGTCGCCCTCCTCTTCGTCCTCCGCGTCTGTGGCCTCCCGCCCCGTTCCCACCGTGCCAGGGTGCATCGAGTCGTGCCGCTTCTTCCCGGACGCCCTGACCTTCTGAAGGGCCTCGCAGCCGTGGCGGAGGGCGTGATCACGGAGGCCGATTCTACTCGCGCGTGTGCTCTCTGGCCCGAGTAGGAGATAGACTACAGAATCGATGTGCCCAAGACTGGATGGCTTTGTATCATCTGCACGGGACATACGTGGAATGCTCTGTACATGCACGGAACATTCTGTCCATTTTCGGCAGATTCGACGAACACAAGAATTTTGGGGTCAACCAATTCAAGACGTTTCGCGTAACCCCACCAGACGCCTTGCGTGCAATTTGTCTGTTCCGCCGTCCCGGACACGCCTGTTGCCGCCAGACCGTCGTCGCGCGGCCGCCGACAATGAAGGGCTGGGTAAGACGTCGCACCCCAAGAGAGGGAGGAGGATGGAGGAGGAATTTGAGCAGGAGCAGGAGCAGGAGCAGGAGGAGGAGGAGGAGGAGGAGGAGGAGGAGGGGG